AAGTGAGAGAGAAAGGATAAAAATATATTAACTAAACTATATTTTTCTTCTTTATTTTTGTTTTGAAAAAATCTACAAAAAACAAAAACTATTGTGAAAACCAAACAAAGAGTTTTTAAATTAAACAATAAAATGTAAAACAAAACAAAAATCGATGAAATTTGTATAGAATGTGTTAAGGAATAAATGTGGTTAGTCCTTAAGATTAAAGATGTTTTCAAATTTTCGTTGTAAGAGTTGAATTTAACGGATGTAGAAAGGTATGGGGAGATTGATCGGTATATTCTGGTGGAATCTTTATACTCATTGATAGATCAAAGTCGATTCGGATACATGGATATAAAAAGGAAATTTATTGTCTTCTATTAAATATTATAGTTTTGACCGATTGGTCATTCGTAGCTTAAGTCAAGCTGGCCTTAAATCATTAAAAAAATACAAATAGATAAATCATGTTATAAAATAATATAAAATGCACACTTAATTATATAGAATAATTAATTGAGAATCAATGAAGCAAAATAATCAATTACGTTAAGGCAGACGCCCAACGGCAAATAGGCTTTGCACCTTCGGGTTAACTGATCGTGCCTGTTACTTGTTATCGACATGCCGCCACACAGCGCAGAGTAGATTTACGGTCAAGCTGTACGCAAAGTGACCATAGATGGCGCTGTTGCAAAAAAAAAATACCAAAGCGCGGCACATTTGAATTCGATCATAAGTAAAAACACTGACCACTGTTCTCTGGTCAGTGGTAAAAATAATGCTCTGTCGCATTATAAACTTTAAATTTCATAATGTAAATTCATATTTGATTTGCATACAAATTAAAAGATTAAGTTAGATTTTTTTCTAGCGCTTTATTAATGTAAATATCAAATTGATAACAATAGATACATCAGCTATATACGTTTATTATGCGTACACGTATCGAATATTAAGTTGATTACAAAAAAAAGTATACATATATATGTGTGTAGTATATATATATATGTAAATATATCATATATTTATATACCAACCAACCGCACGACTTAGGGCTATGAAAAAAAAATGCATATATCAACTGTGATTGTTCGCGTTTCGTTTTTGTTTTTTGTTTTAGTTTTCTTTTGTTTAGCTAAATAAAAAATATACATGTCATCGATATACATGGATACACATGTATATGTGTACGTATATATGTATATGTATATGTATATGTATATACATGCATCTGCACTGATATAAAACATATTTTGAAGGCACATAATTACAGGCGCTGACCGCCGAAGCACTTGGTGCCCCGCTGCTTTGTGGCGCTTGGATCGTGGCTGCTGCGCATCCCCCCCGCATGGGGATTCGACCACTTTTGTGTGTGTGTGTGTGTGTAATGTACAGTTATTGAGTATGTTCGTTAAGCAATATTATTGTTGTCGTTGTTGTTGTTGTTGCCGTTTGTTATCAGTAGGGATTGACTGCAGCGAGGCCCACGCGTCCGCCGGAGCGCGCGAACACGGGCTCCGCATAGCTGTGCCGATAGCCCTTGGGCATGCTGGCCAGCGGCTTGCCCGAGCTTGAGCTGCCGCTGTTGCCGCTGTTGGGCGTCGGCGCCGGCGACGGATAGCGCTCGGCATGATGGCTTAGGCGCGACGAACTGGACTTGGCCACGGGCGGCACCGGCTCCGTCGGCTGCATGTACTCTCGCGAGCGTGCCCGCATCTGATGGCGCGACTGCGACTGATGGCGATCCCGTTCTCGCTCCCGATCTCGGTCCCGTTCACGCTCACGCTCTCGCTCTCGCTCCCTCTCCCGCTCCCTTTCTCTCTCTCGCTCTCTCTCACGCTCACGCTCCCGCTCCCTTTCCCTCTCGCGTTCCAGACGATAGCCATCGTGTGGCGGCTCTCGCATATCGTCGCCGCGTCGCATGGGATAGTCGCGCTCGCGCCGTTCCCGCTCCTGGCCGTGGCGCATGTTGCCACCATTGCTGACGTGATGCTGCTGCTCTTGCTCCCAGTGGTCGCGCGAGCGAGCACGCGAACGACTCATCATCGGCTCCGGCTGCTGCACTGGCACGGGCAGCTGCTGCTCGGGCTCCTCCTCCTCGTCGCTCCACTGRTCGTAGCTGGGCGGCTCCACGGAGCCGCGACGCCGACGCGACGATGATCTGTAGTCGGCTGTGGGCGCCACCGGTGCGACTCCGTTGCCGCTGTCGCGCTCGTCCAGGTCATAGCGACTGCCGCCGGTGCGCTCCATGGCCCGGAACTTGTCCTTGGCATCGTGGAAGCGATCGCTCGGCGACACCTGACTGCTGGCCGCAGCCGGATACTCCCGCACGTAGTCGCGGCTATCCCGGCTGCTGGGCTTGCGTGGCGGCTCCTCGCCATAGCGCATGCCCGTCGACTTCATCATCTTCTCCATGCTCTGGATGTAGGGCAGGCTCTCTGCCTCGCGGTATGGATTGCGATCCCTGGAATGTTCGTGATCTCTATCGCGCTCCCTTTCCCTTTCTCTATCTCTCTCCCTCTCCCGCTCTCGCTCGCGCTCCCTATCGCGCTCTCTGTCTCTGTCATGGCGCTCCCGTAGTCGATCTGGATTGCTGCCGTTGATGTGGCTGCTGCTGCCGCCGCCGACGCTGTTGCTGCTGCGCGTCGGCTCTGCGCCGCGATGCACGGCCGCGTATTTGTTGTGCGCCGGCACTGGCGGCAGCTGCTCGAACGGCAGCTCGGCGGGATCCACATAGCGATGGCGACTGCCGCCATAGCGCTGCGCCTCCTCGGCTGCGTAGGACTTGAGCTGCTGCTGCTGCTGCTGCTGCTGCTTCTTGGACGCGTATTCCATGAACTTTTGCTTGTCCGTCAGGTTCTCCTTGCGATAGCTGGCAACGGGCAGCGGCTTCTGCGGCGGCTCACTGCACGGATCCGAGTCATCGAAGTCGTCCAGATCGTCGTCGTGCAGCGAACGCTCCTTGAGCCGATCCCGATCGTGGCCGGACAGCTTCTTGTTCAGCAAGCGATTGATTTCGTTGTATTTGTCGGTGTCGCGCAGCTTGGCCGCCGCCTCATGCTTGGCCGGCTGCGGCTCCAGCTGCATCACCCGATTGAATTTCGCATCGTAGTCTGCGGGTCGCATGATGATCGGCTTGATCTCGTCCTCGCGCGACCACGACTTGCTGTTCGACGGCGCTGCCGGCGTCTTGACGCGTTCGCTCTGCCTCGGCACATACGGCTTGGCCGGCAGATCCCGCAGATAGCTATCCTCCGGCGGCTGCACAGCGCTCTTACGCTTCAGCTGCGCATGATGCGAGAGCGCGATTTGTGACGGCTTCAGCGCAATCACCGAGTTGTCCGCCTCATTCGACCAGTGCTCGTCGTCTGCAACGTTAAATAGTGGATTGGATAAGTTCAAGATGGAAGTGGAGATAGAGATGGAAGCCATATTATGGATATTATCGATATGCATATGACAGTTCCAAGGATATTTTAGCATGGATATGAATATGGAAAGGGTAGATATGTTGTGTATAGATATGGATATGGATATCCATGGATATGGATATGGATATGGATATCCATGTATATGTCATTTATCAACATAGATATGGATGTGGATATGGATATGGAAATGGGTATGGATATGGATATGGAAATGGATATGGATATGGATATCCATGGATATGTCATTTATGAACATAGATATGGATATGGATATGGATATATGTCATTTATTGATATGGATATCCATGGATATGTCATTTCTTGATATGGATATCCATGGATATGTCATTTATGAAGATAGATATGGATATGGATATAGATATGGATATGGATATGGATATGGATATGGACATGGAGGTGGATGTGGATGCGGGTGTCAATGTGGATAGGGATATGGACATGGATATGGATATGGATATGGATATGGATATGGATATGGATATGGATATGGATATGGATATGGATGTGGATGTGGGTGTGTATGTGGATAGGGATATGGATATGGATGTAAATGCGGATGCGGATGCGGATGTGGATGTGGATGTGGATAGGGATATACATATATATGAATATGGATGTGGATGTGCATGTGAATACGGACATGGATATGGATATGCATATACAGTGAAGTTTGCCTTGAAGGACAGTTTTAATGAAGTGGACACGTTCCCTTGGCCAGATAGCTTGAATAGAAGATTGGCTGTCCAATCTGGCTGTGAAAAGCTGCATGCACATATATATATATTCGTGTACATAATATCTATAGCCAACATACCACTTGAGCTATTCAGCTCCTGCCGCTCCGGACTGGGCGCCAGATCCGATCCAATGCCCGAGGAGCCGCGCGACGAGACCTGCTTGCCATTGGCCGTCGTGGCGGGCACAGCGCTTACTGGTGCTGCTGGTCCTGTGCCAGGCGACACCTGGCCCTTGGGCGTGCCCGCGCCGCCCACAATGAGCGCATTGCGACAGCGTCGCAGCTCGATTGCCGTTAGATTGCCCTTGGAGCGATGCACTGTGTCGTAGTCGCGCGGCGGCAACAGCAACGGCGGCCCGTTCCCATTCAGCTTGGCGCGCAGCTCGGCGGCCAGCGAGTCGAACAGATCGCTGTTCTGCTGTGGCGTCAGTGGCGGATGGCCGTGCGGATGGCCATGCGGATGATGCGAGCCGTGGTGTGACGAATGATGCTTGCCGGTGCTGCTGCTGCTGCCGCCATGTGGCGGCGAGCGGGAGACTGGTGAGCCGGCCAGGCCGTGCTCCTCGCTGCACTCGGACTCCCGCGTGCTATTGCCCGTGTCGCTGCCCAATGAGCTGCTGAAGCGCTTCGGCGACGTTTCGTGGCGGCGCTGCTGCTGCTGCGAATAGCC